CTGCACAAGCTCCACCTCGGAGAATCCCAGTCTGTCCGCGTTGGAGATGTCAAACACTCCATCCACAGCATCGGTGTCCACGCCACCTGATTGACAAACCAGGTCGAGTACTCATGAAAGCACAAGAATTGAACCAAAGCTAGGTCGGTTTGCCAGTACCAGTTCCGCGTTTTTGGAGACGCAGCCTCTTGAGAATCTCCTCAAAATCGGTGTGCTTGGCCAGGTTTGGCAGCTTTACGTGTACGCCGGCACGCAGGCCGGTGCCCAGGTTGGAGGGGCAGGTCAGGATGTAGCCCAGATGCTCGTTCCACATGAAGACGCGGCCTTTCTCCTTGAATCTGGCTTCGATCTGCAGGTGGTGAGAATATTTCAATCGATTATCCCGACTCTGATCTCCCACAGGTAGTGAGATTTCTTCTGCCATGTGGTGAAATTTCTGACCATTTAAAACCAGGGTTCCCTGCCAGTGAGTCCAGGGAATCTCAAACAAGCACATCTAAAAAGTTGCCTATTTTTGTGGAAATTATCACAAAGCTACAATGGGGGTTTTTTTCCCCACGAAGTTGAAAACAAAACAGTAGTTTGTAGAATAACTGGGAATTAAAAAGTTTGCGATTTTTAAGAAGTCATCTGCCTGACTAAAGTGTTGCACTTTAATGCGTCTCTTTTCCAGTTTGGGAGCCACTGGTGAGGAAAACCTTTCAACCCACCTCTGCCAGTCCAGTGCAGAAGCGGGTGAACACTTCCTTTATGTTGCCTCCTTTCTGCATTGAGATGACGCGCAGATGGTCCTCCTCGTTCACCCACACCAGGAAGGTCTTGCTCTCGTTGTGCCTTTGGAACGCAGGTGGCAAAATGACTTGGAAGTACAGATATTTCATTGAACTCAGCGGAGAAGTACATTTCAAAAAATCTCAATTCCTATACTTCCCTCTCCTGCTTTGAGAGGCCCGCATGACCTTTCTGAAGTCTTATGGGTATTGAGGTTCAATAGGCGCTTCCTCACCAGATGCCTCTGCCGTCGGGCCAGTCGCGGGCCATCCTGGAGGCCAGCAGCAGAGGGGACACGGGTTTGTCAAACAGGAAGTGGTCGTCGATCAGCTGCTGCTGGCTCTGATCTCCCACAGGTGGTGAGATTTCTTCTGCCACGTGGTGAAATTTCTGACCATTTAAAACAAGGGTTCCCTGCCAGTGAGTCCAAGGAATCTCAAACAAGCACATCTAAAAAGTTGCCAATTTTTGAGGAAATTATCACAAAGCTACAATGGGGTTTTTTCCCCACGAAGTTGAAAACAAAACAGTAGTTTGTAGAATAACTGGGAATTAAAAAGTTTGCGATTTTTAAGAAGTCATCTGCCTGACTAAAGTGTTGCACTTTAATGCGTCTCTTTTCCAGTTTGGGAGCCACTGGTGAGGAAAACCTTTCAACCCACCTCTGCCAGTCCAGTGCAGAAGCGGGTGAACACTTCCTTTATGTTGCCTCCTTTCTGCATTGAGATGACGCGCAGATGGTCCTCCTCGTTCACCCACACCAGGAAGGTCTTGCTCTCGTTGTGCCTTTGGAACGCAGGTGGCAAAATGACTTGGAAGTACAGATATTTCATTGAACTCAGCGGAGAAGTACATTTCAAAAAATCTCAATTCCTATACTTCCCTCTCCTGCTTTGAGAGGCCCGCATGACCTTTCTGAAGTCTTATGGGTATTGAGGTTCAATAGGCGCTTCCTCACCAGATGCCTCTGCCGTCGGGCCAGTCGCGGGCCATCCTGGAGGCCAGCAGCAGAGGGGACACGGGTTTGTCAAACAGGAAGTGGTCGTCGATCAGCTGCTGCTGCTCCTCCTCCGACATGTTCTTCAAGGCGTAGTACGTGCCAGTAAGGTCTCCGGTCAGAGAGCCCAGAGCTAAAAGGCAGAGAAAGAAATATGTTTGTGGACAAATTCCCACCCTCCCACTCAAAGCATTTTCCTTTACCTTCGATGGAGAGCTTCTCCAAAGCGCGCCTCTCTCCTCTGGTGCAGTGTGGCGGCAGGCAGAAGCCGCGGATGCTGCGGCCTGTTCGGACACGGGAGCTAAGAACGTAGTTGGGGTCCAGGTCGTCGCCGCCCTAAACGAAGCGGGGGAGAAAGGGCTACTTTGGATTCTTTCTAAGTGGCAAATCATCAGTGTATCATTGGTTTTCATTTTCAACAGGCAGTCGAAAAAAATCCATCCATCCATTTCCTATACTGTGTCCTGTTCGGGTCTTGAATACCTAAAAACTACACCGCCACAACCGGGAAAATCAGAAAACCATAAAGCCACAAAGAGTGACTGATCTGTTTCACTTGCCAGTTGAAAATGGGATGAAAAAAAAACACCAAAGACTCAATGTAAATCTCCAGACGCTTACCACCAGATTCCCTGGATTGAGGTCAGTCTTGTGCGTGTCTGTGGCCTTGTATCCGCCGTGCCTATCCTCAATCACGAGGTCAAAAAGCTCTTTGTAGACCTCGTAGGACTCCTCGTCTCCCGCCACGCAGCCCACGGTCATGATGTAGGGGTGGCCTGTCCACATTGACACCGCGTGACACCCGAGAGTCATCAAAAGAACCGCGTGGCAATGCAGGTCGAACTGAGGCACGCTGTTACCGTACCAGGATTGTCCACACCGGTCTGAATGACGCCGTCAATGGTGAAGCCGCTGCGAGTCGACCTCTCCTTCATCGTGGCGTACATGTCCTGAGTCAGGAACTTGGCCATGTGGTTCTTATGCTGACTGAGATCCGGGAACTCGTCCGTGGCCGTCAGCCCCCTCTGCTTGCGATTGGCCATCCCTTCACAGCTAAAACAGATCGCCAGTAACACATAAGCATCCGAGAGCAGACGTGTCTGTCCGTTTTGGGAGTTTAGCTAACCTTCCTGCGCAACAGCACTTCTTTCCATCAACTCCCGAGTCGCACGAATACTTAACTGAAGTGAGCACATTCATCGTGCCCCTTCCTAAAAGTGGCAAAACTCTCTTTACAGTACGAGGGAAACTCAATGTGGACATGACAACGCAGCGCAACAAAACTGAAAAGGTGCTGAGAGTCAATTTTCGTGTTGCATCACAACAAAACCACAAAACACATCTGCTAAGGGACCTATTGTAGCACCAAATCATTTAATTTTAGCAGTGAATCTCAACAATATGCATTTACCATTAATACAACAAATGCATTAGCAGTAAAGCAAATAAGTCACACACTTTTGAACCAAATCCTAAAAACTAAAAAATAAACAAGCACACAAATCCACTGAAGGAACCATGTTAGCACCAAATAAGAACATTAGCGGATGTGACAGGTTTTCTACAGGCAACACAGAAATCGAGCCGGAAAAAGTCTCCTGGATGGACAAAACCAAAAGTCACTATGGGGCAGCCAAAATGTCAAATTCAAAGTAAGATGCACCTAATTATATAAAAAAAAAAATTTTGGTGGGCTTTGCACCTATCGTGAAATGTTAAGTTGGGCTTCAAGGCCAAATGACACTTGCTATAGTCACTCCCATAATATGCATCATGGCCTTTTGGATCCAAAGTGATGAAGTCACAAAGCAAAGTTTTGTATTATTTTTTTTTATGATGTCACAACCTTTTCTCCACAAAATAGAAAATGTCTTGGCCAACTAATTCCGTAAAAATAATGAGGATCAGCTTTCATACTACTGATTTGTGCTCCAGTCAAGAATGTAGTTGAACATTTTAAAGGCGAACATGAATGACCTCAACAGGAAACATATCGCTTTTTCTTTTACACGTTCTGAATGTGTATGTCATGTCATTTTATTAATTAGTGTGAAAAATAATCACATGCAATGTGATAAACATCATTTTTGACCATTTTTGTCAGTTTGAGATGGTTGTGCTTTCACGAGCGGTCAACTTTTAACAACTGAGAGTCACCAGAATGCTTTATTCCATCAAGTGATATGGAAATTATGAAATACGTATCACGTATTTCCATGTGAAATGCTCATTTTGATACCAAAGTGCGTCGTGTGCTTACCTGATTCAGCAACACTTGGGGAAGATCGATTAAACGTTGAAGATGCTCGCGCACACAACTTTTTGTCTGGAGAGAAACTCTTTCTTTTATATTATTCGGCCCAACTCGACGCCGTCATCCATTCTTTGGATCACAGGGGCGCGTGTTGTGCCACCGACGTGACAAAAGCTATTAAAGGTGACGCGCGCGGCTCGTTGAGTTTGAACGGTGCTTTTCTCCAAACGCGGTGGCGTGACGTTTAGGTTTTTTATATTTAGTTGAATTCCCTACCGCGTGACGTAGCGCTTGTAACGCAAGCAAGCGCACAATTCCGCTTTGGTTGGCAAGCTTTTATTGACATTGCTTATATCATGGTTTGTTTCTTAACAAGTCAATACATGTTTTTCGTTGTTGTTTACGACTAAGATGCGGATTACTTTTTCCCTTTTTGTTGAAAAAATAAGACATACATGCATACACCTAGGTCCAATATTCAATTAATATTTGATGATATGTACGAACTATGACAGATTTTACATCCAGCAATCGTTATGTCAAGGCTCCGGGGCTGTTCCACAGCAAACTCGGTTCATCATTACTGTATTTATTTTTTTTTAACCCGTTAACGTATTGTCCCCCACAAATGTTGGACGCCAAGTGAGGAAAATAATATAATGTCGCCCTCTAGCGGCGGTTTGAGGACGATGAAACGGTTCATTCACAATATTGTGCTCGAACTTTTTACTCCTTTCTGAATCTGATTGTAATACACCGGCGGGGCTCAAGAACTACTGAAATTAAAAAAAATCCATGGCATTCTGTTTTACTGAGATGAATATCAACAGGCTCTATGTGCTTATAAAGAACGAGAGATGTCAACACTACCAAAGACCACAATTAGAGATGTATGAATTCATTTATTTGCCAAAATAACAGGGTCCTAAAAGTGACAACTTTCTAGGTAGGGGTGCAATACAGGCCATTTCTCCTTTTTTTTAGGCGTCATCAGAGCCGTTTTTGCTCGCCAGCAGGTAGAAATACTTGACACTCAGCACCACTTCTGTCTCTGCAGAGGTCACCTTCATGACAGACATCAACCTGTAGTGAGGAAGTCAGGAAAAAGAAAAACAAAATCACTCAGTCTGACTCTGTCGTCATGACTCGGCAACATCCCGTTTTACATCGTGGTCAGATTCTTTGACTTCCAGAGGACATATTATTGAAAATTGACTTTTTCGTGGCTTGTGTACAAGCAGTTGGGGGTTAGCAAACAAGTAGCTTGTCAGTTGCACCTTTCTGAAAATGTGTCTGCGGTGTTACATTTTGGCTAATTTAATGATTAGCCAATTTCATGATCATGTTGGAGGCAAAAAGGCAAGTAGGGGTGCTGTGAGTGGTCAAAATCAAGCCAGAATACCTTTGACAAATGTCCTGTGAGAGCCTGTTGGCCTTCTGGGGGTCTTCCCTCAGCAGAGCCTGATAGCTGGAGAACGATTCCACAAAGCCCATGTAGCTGCTCAGGGGCATGGACTTCTTCACCCACATCCCCTCATTCCTGCAGTAGGAACGGTGAAACAGCTCTTCATTCATCCAATTTCGACACCACTTATTGTGCTCTGGATCGCGAGGAGCCGAAGCCTAACCCAAGTTGCTGAGCACTCACCACTCTTTGTCAGCATAGGGGATGGAATTGTAGGCTTCTCGGTATAACTCAATAGATTTTGGACCAAGAATCGTACTACGGTAAGGATGCAAAGCAGCATAGAACTGAAAATGACCAAAATAAAAGCACAATTAGAATTCACAGAGGTGACATAAAGCCTGTAAAAAAAAAAAAAAATTATAAATATATATATTTATAAACGTCTACTGCTATTCTTTATCCTCTGTATTTTGATGGATGAATCTCTGATATCTTTTATCAAGACACCTTGGAATTGTTCTGAGTTGTGAAAATGCCCCAATAGTCGTCCTTTACAAACTGTGAGCACCTCTTTGCACACTTGGTTGAGTGACTGTTGGCAGCAACCCGGGTAGGCCAGTTCCATATCGAGGGTGTAGTTGAGCAGAGCCAAGCAGCCACGAGGCTTCAGGACCCTGTAGGCTTCCTGCAGAAAGCGTGCTCTGTCAAACCAGTGGAAGGCGGACATGGCTGTTATCAGGTCCACTGAGCTGTCGGCAAACGGTAGCTCCTCAGCCACGCACTGTCTAAAGGTGGAATTGTCCACAAAAAAACAACAAAAAAAGCACTTTTTAATATCCAGAATACTGGAGGACATCCATCCTCGTGCAGTATTTTCTTAAGCACCTCATTAGGATTGTGGGGAGGGATGGGAGTCATAAACTGGTTCTTGTCTTGGTAATTTGAGAATTTGAGTCCTAGGAATCCTTTGTTTGCTTTGCCGATAATTGCGCTTTCTGGAAAAAAAAACCCTTTGTTTGGTTAGCTAATAATTGCGCTTATCAAAAGAAAAGGAAAAAAAAGCAGCACTTTGACCGGGGCTCGGCTGTTGCTGAGGCTGTTAAATGCGCCTCGTTCACGGCTGTGACCGGGTTCAATTACAGAAGAGTGAGAGGAGAAACTATTGGAATATTAAATACACGAGGAGCACTGTAAACATTCCCAAATGTGAATAGCCACAATCGATAGCTAGTTGATTAAAATAGAGCTCCCCTAATATTCTGGAAGGAATAAATGAAAATTAGAAGTTCTTCTTTGACTTTCCTCATTCTCAGTGTTTAACATTGCGGTATCAGTGAGGCTTAAAAACCCAAATAAGTTATGTAAAGTCCTAGTGGAAAATTTCATAAGTGGCCTACTTTTCTTTTTGCCCTCTTTCCATAAAATACATATTGCACACACACACACACACACACACACACACACACACACACACACACACACACACACACACACACACATTCATTATACAAGCAGGATTGTGAATGTGATGGGCATTGTTCTTGGATATGTGTGAATTTTATGTCATGAAACCCTGACTGTGGATGGTATAATAGTTGGACGCATGTGGGCCGCTCAATCGCCCCCCCCCCCCCCCCCCCCCCCCCCCCCCCTTAATCTTCTCGCTATAGTTTACTTGCTATATTTGACAGCTCAACCATTCCTGGAAAGCGAAAAGCTCTTTATTACTTGTAAATGCTGCTCGAGGGAAACGGAATGAAATGCGCGCTTGCTTCCAGCGTGAACATGCGTGTAATTACGTTTGAAGCGCAGTACACCACACAACTGCAATCTACAAAGTACACGTGTCATCATGAGCTGAAGAGCTCTTTGACAGCATACTCGCAGACTGACCTCCTACCTGCTTTTTCACAAATTCCAGCACACGCTGAATCAATTGATCCGATGGCGACTCCGTTTGAAGCGCAGTACACCACACAACTCATGAATAGCTCTTTGACAGCATATTCGGAGGCTGACCTCCTACCTGCTTTTTCACAAATTCCAGCACACGCTGAATCAATTGATCCGATGGCGAAATCCTATATTTCCAATAGGAGGCGGCATGATCTTTGGCTTCAAACAGACGGTGAGCCATCACAAGTCAAGGTGAGAGAGCGGGTCAATTCTGAAGTGAGTGTCTTAAAACTACTTCTTCGTTGGCGTTGTATAGCGCATATTCAGGTCACATACACACACAAAAGCAGGAACAGTGCGCTGATTGTAAAAATGGGAGGCCCCATTCGGTAGTCTGTCTGCACATGCAGTGTTTGACAATGAGCGCCTTTAAAGAGAACGCGTCTTTCTTTTTGGATGTCATCGTAGAACGCTGCAGACAACATCAACTCATACGTTCACACTACCGGGCAGGATGTCCAATTCGGATTTAAAAAATATATATATATACATATATATATACCTGATTTTTTTTGTACTCGTTCACATTCCAATATCAACAGACAACATCAACTCATACGTTCACACTGCCGGGCAGGATGTCTAATTCGGATTTTTTAAAAAAATATATACCTGATTTTTTTTGTACTCGTTCACATTCCAATATCAAATGCGCCAACAAGGTGTGAACGCAACGTTTCGATGATGTTGTACGCATGCGCATAAAGTGTGACCTCGAATGACACGCACTTCACGGGACTCGCGCGGTGGTTTGGATGAATTTTAGATTTCAGGAACGCGAAGCTCCATGGGAGTGTCGGCGTGTCAAGAACAGGAAGTAGTGGCGACTGCTGTTTTTCACCGCTCGAAATCCCGCGTATATTTGCAGTTACACACAAACAACAGCACAGATCTCAGGAACGTTGTTTATTTCATCCCTCCGGTTTATATGTAATATTTTAAGCATATCTGAAATCCGGTGATTGAGTTCAAAGTGAAAAGAAATCTTGACTCTCGAACTAGTTCACCATTTGCAGCGATGACCACCATTCTCATACTGCAGACGCATCACATACGTATCTGATTTATATCTTATATACGAAGCGGCCTGGGTTGGATTTGAGAAAGAAATCGGAATTGTACAATTCACATTGCGTGAAAAAACATCAGATGCATGTCACATATGGGCAAAAAAAAAATCACAAATGAGCTGGAGTGTGAACACAGATTAAGTGATGGAAAAATATTTTTATAATCACAAAAACTTGGCTACCAGCGTGTGGACTTTAATATACCCACCGTATGTGTATATACTGTATATAAAAGTGTGTAAACAGAGTTCATCATGATCAGGGTTTGTTGATGAGTCGCCTCAGCAACTTGTCAGACTGATAAACATGTTTGTTATTGTAGAGTGGGCCCCTTATGAGAGCACTGTGCTACTAATTGTTCTCAAGGGACAGCAATAGGGACAGATAATGACCTGTTGACCATCCAATTTGCAGAACGCCTGTGAATAGAAGCAATATTCCCCACGGCCCCCCCAAATCAAAATATAGAAGCAGAATCATATTCTGCCAGTATACTTTCATTATACTTTTTGTTCTATTACTTTCTTCCTTTCATAATTTTGCTGCTGTAAATTAGGAATTTCTCCATCGTGAGATGAATAAAGGTTTTCTTATTCTTATTGACATTCATTCCATTTAAGCTTCGGTCTTGTGGTATACAGTACTCCTCAATCACGGAATGTAAATATCCAGTCCAATTGAAATTAAATTAAACAGCTGGCTTCAAAAGAGAGGGGAAAAAACAGTCGTGTATGAGACATCAACAATAATTTCAACAATGACCACAGAACAGTTTTTTTTTTTTTTTACATTTCTCGTTATGTTCATGTCAATTATGCATCGAAGAGGCATATTTTGTGGAAAAAAATCTGACGTTTATTGAAAAAGTCTTCCAATGAGGTCGTTGATGTCATTTCATTGCAAAACTGGGCAACTTCAAGAAAATGATCATCTTCAAAAAACGGCAACGTTGACAAGTTGCACGTAGACAAATTTTATACAAAAAAAACTGAACAAATTACAGGAAAGTAGCAAGTACTGCGCCTTGTGAATACCTTGATTAACCCTTAAAGGCCTTCAAAGAGTCGCATTGATTGCGGTCAGTCAGTTTTCATCTCCGTTGCTGCTCTCCTCAAGATCCCGTCCACCCACTTGGTTACGGCAAACATTGGCAAAGGCCTCCTTGTAGCATCTGCCAACCTGATCACGAACATCAATCTCAGACAGATGACTTTTATGACAGTCTTGCGCAATGGGAGAAACACTAAACATTCGCAACTACTGTGCTAAATACACTTTTTGATGAATCAGGTTGACATAACGTGATGGGCACGCATCACGAGGCCGTTAAACGGCGGATCTGATTCAGTGCACAAAAATGGCCCACGTTAAACGCCAGATCAGAAGAGCTCACGTCATGTAAACAGTTGGCCGGACATCTTGGATCAAAATTATTTCCATCGGAATGGCCACAAAGTCTGCAGGTAAACCCGGCTCAAAGACCCCAGAGGGTAATAATCAGGCCTTAATAATCTCAATGGAGGGAAATTCCGACAGAGAGAGAAAATGCGAAGAGGAGGGACAGACTTGAAAATGTATCGGGAGCCGGACATCCCTTACTTTTAGGGCGTACTGGAAATAACGGTTTAGTTTTGTCAGTCAGACTCCAAATTCCATCTTCCAAACGGTGGTTTAAAATTGAAAGCAAGCACATTTGTATTTGATTGGCAGTGTCGTGTTCCTGTTGGCCCCTGCGCCAAGTCGCCCAAGTCAGACAGCTCATCCAAGGATTGACGAAAGGCCAACATCAGTCGAGGCTTTGGGGCGTCAACACGCTGCCATTGGTCCGCCGCGGTCCCAAAGGTCACGCTGTCTTCTTGCGAAAGCCTTTAACTAGCCGCCGCTGCGCAGGGTCGTTCGGAGGGGCGGATGTGCGTCTCCCCGCTACATTTCTTATGTGGTGAATTTGTCTGCTTGTGTTGATGTTGTTTATGATGGAAAATGTTTCCGATGTCACAATGTTGACTCTGTCTGGTTTGAATTTTCCATTTGCTCAGAGACTCACCATTTTTGTGCTTGTGCTACTCTGCTACCTCATCATCCTGCTGAGCAATTTGACCATCGTTTTGGTCATCGTTGCAGACAGGAAGCTCCATCAGCCCATGTATGTCTTCCTGTGTAACTTATGCATCAACGCCGTGTACGGGTCGGTCGGCTTTTACCCCAAATTCCTGGTGGATCTCCTGTCGTCTCATGTGATTTCATACGCCGGCTGCATGCTGCAAGGTTATGTCATACACTCGTCAAATTGCTGCGATTTTTCCATCTTGGCACTGATGGCTTACGACAGGTACGTGGCTCTGTGCCGGCCTCTTGCTTATCGATCTTTCATGACGCGGCAGCGAGTGTCGCTCTTTGTGTTTTTGTCCTGGTTCATACCTCTGTTTTGTATGTTTATGAACACGGCATCCCTCTTGGGGAAAAAGCTGTGCGGCTCTCACATCAACAGGCTCTACTGCGTCAACCTGATGGTGGTCAACCTCGCTTGCTCCCCGGCCAGAGCCAACAGCATCATCGCGGCGTTCAACATCGGGCTTTATTTCTTGCACTTTCTGTTTATTTGTGGGTCTTATGTGTATCTGATCAAACTGTGCATTTCGTCCACACAGATGTGGAAAAAGTTCAGGCACACGTGCTCGCCGCACTTGGCCTGCCTGCTCACTTACACCGCGACCGTGCTGCTGGATTTGTTGTACATGCGATTCGGTTCGGTGCAGTTGTCTCAACACTTGCACAATTTCATGACCATTGAATTTCTCCTCATTCCTCCAATTTTGAATCCACTCATCTACGGGCTGCAGCTGACACACATCCGCAACAGGATATTGAGTTTTTTCCATACGAAAAAGAAGATACGCAGCTTTTAGACCGAGGAAATGTGTCTGCGTGCGGGCAATATGTCGGATGGGATATTTATGAATGAGGGTTTTGTCCAGAAACAAAAATGAAAGAATGGAGGTTATTTCACGTGGTCTCCATTAGTGGTCAGTGCAGACTATCATTTTGCTGTGCTTTGTTTTTGCATCATGAAATATACAGGCTCATCTAAATAAATTTGAGTATGGCAGAAAATTGATTTATTTTAGTCGTGAAAAGTAGATGAATACCTTTCACAATGTGGACTAATTTCTAGAGTCAATATCATCTTGGTTTTTATTCTATTCAAGTAATATGCTTATTTCTTGACATCTTGAATTTCGAGGTTTTGCTATCTTTAATAATAAGGACTAAAATATTGTATCATAAACTATTCACTCTGTGTGTTCGTAATTCAATAATCTGCAAGTTTGACTTTTTTTTAAAAATTGATCTACGGAAATGAATTCAGTTTTCAGTGATGTGCTAATTCATTGAAGTGGATCTGTATTATTTGAGTTTAATTGCGCAGTGCTCACTTTTCAAATGATTTCATGTTGCAATTCGCACGTTTTGTTTGTAATTCAACGGAGAATAGCTGTCGAATACAAGGGAGTATTCAGTGACGCTGTGCAATGTTACTCAATGAAGAAATGTCTCATTTTCATTGTCAGTCTTGTTGAATAAGAACTCCTTTTCCAATAAACTACACATCACAAATGACACATTCACATTTGTTGAGAACTATGCCAACCACCCACTGTGCTTGCCAACTTTTTAATGTTGGAGTCTGACAACAACATACAATCTTCAATATTAATCAAGTCATGCCATTTGGACTATAAATAACCATAATCTTTTTGTCACAGCGGTCATGAAATTATCTTATTTCGAAATTTGCATTTGAATATTTCCGGTGTAGCGCTTCCTGTTTAACGCGGTTCGCAAAAAAGTAACTTGACGTCTTAAGTACGGCCAGAGTTTGTTCCGGAGTCATACCAAACGCAAACTTTTACGCTGGCAGGCCCTCCGAAGATGCGAAAAGTGTTTTTTTTTTTTTGTAATCATTTTATGTCTATGAACACTTACGTTTGCTAATATTTAGTGTAGAACGTGATCTATGTTAATTATCTGTATGTGTTGTGCATTCTGTTTCAGCTCCTGCGGTGATCAGACCACGGTTGTGGTTCTATGTTGCTCACAAATAAACGGCAAAAATCATCACTAAAGCTTCATCCTTGTTTGAGAGGGCATGCTACATGGACTATAAGTCAGACCTCCCCTGTCAGCTAAATTTGCATTGCTTCATGTCAATGATTTCATGGACATGTTGACAATATCTTGAACCTGAATGAATCCACTGCTGGGAGTTCATATGACTCATCATTTGCGACGACTTTATGATGACGATAAGAAATCCTTCCGTCTTTCTTTCAATTTCCAATAGCGTTTGTCTTAATTTGGGTAAAGCATGAGCTGGAACGTATCCCAGATTGGTCGCCAGCTAATCTCGGCCCATTCAGTACAGACAAAAAACCTTTTGCAGTCACATTCGCTCCATTGAACGTATTTATTGAATCAAGCATTCATGTTTTGGGGATGTCGGAGGAACACATCGAGACAGACAATATAACAGTACTCATTGTCATATGCAGTATTCTTTATCCTCTGCGAGAAACGACCACTGTTATTATTTAGATGACAAGGCAAGGTCAAGTCAAACATTTTCTTTACCATGATACGTCCTATGTGGGCCCACTTGTCAAAACACGGCATGAAATAAGCAGCCAGATCCGCAAGGCATTTTGCTATTGACTGAAATTGATGTCAAAGTTGCTGAGGCCTCAGGTAATGACCACTCGTGGCTCAGTTTGGAAACGTTACATGATCCAACTCAGAAAACAGGTGACATCATTATGAGCTATGATCGCGATAAGTAATTTTAACCAGGATGCTGCAGCCCGAAGTTGGGCCCTGAGGGCCAGCGGGTGGTCCTCAAAATAATTTCAATTTTGCTGCTGTGGGCCGCGGAGCAGCGTATTTTACTAATCAAGCCCAAATGAGCTGTTGCCAAGGAGATGCTCTATTACAATTTAGTTTCCCGATGACACGAGGAAACCAAACATCCAATACTTGTAAAAAAAAAAAAAAAAGGCTGTTGACTTTTCCAAGAAAGAAAAAAAAAATGTGGTCTAGCTTCACAAAAAAAGTCCGTTGTGACAATGACAAGCAGCCCAAAAAAGTGCTTTCGGTGGTCCAGGGTCCGCCGAAATACGTACGCACCTTGTGAAATAAATTAGTGTGTGATGCGCCGTTGGCAGGTGAGGGCTGATGTCTTTGTAATTTGAACAAAGGGTTAGTAAGCGCGAGGCAACAACACTTTTCTGAAATCATCAACTCTCTCAACAACAATACGCACACTCTATTCGCATGCTCTATTTGCTACGGTTGATAAATGTGTTATTCCCCAAAACAAACAGCACCAGAACTCCTCTCAATGGAAAAAAAAAATGGTAGCAGAAATGATTCAGCAGCTGAAAGCATCAACGGGCTGGCTCGATAGCATCTGACGTGTTTTAAAACTACTGTAAAAATCTGTGCCGAGTTATGGCAATCGCTCATTTCTGTCAGGCGAGTTTCCTAAACTCTTCAAAGTGGCGCCATTGAGCCTCCTCTAAAAAAGAGAATGTTGGCTGCGTCCTTGTGAGCAAATTCTATTCCCAACTTTTCGGGCGTACTGGAAATAACGCTTTAGTTTTGTCAGTCAGACTCCAAATTCCATCTTCCAAACGGTGGTTTAAAATTGAAAGCAAGCACATTTGGATTTGATTGGCAGTGCAGTGTCCCTGTTGGCCTCTGCCCCAAGTCGCCGAGGTCAGACAGCTCATCCAAGGATTGACGAAAGGCCAACATCAGTCGAGGCTTTGGGGCGTCAACACGCTGCCATTGGTCCGCCGCAGTCCCAAAGGTCACGCTGTTTTCCTGCAAAAGCCTTTAACTAGCCGCCGCTGCGTGGCGTCGTTCGGAGGGGCGGATGCGCACCTCCCTGCTACATGTGTGCGATGGGGTAGATTTGCGTGCATTGTCTATGATGGAAAATGTTTCCGTTGTCGCAATGTTGACTCTGTCTGGTTTGAATTTTCCATTTGCGCAAAGACTCGTCATTTTTGTGCTTGTGCTACTCTGCTACCTCATCATCCTGCTGAGCAATTTGACCATCGTTTTGGTCATCGTTGCAGACAGGAAGCTCCATCAGCCCATGTATGTCTTCCTGTGTAACTTATGCATCAACGCCGTGTACGGGTCGGTCGGCTTTTACCCCAAATTCCTGGTGGATCTCCTGTCGTCTCATGTGATTTCATACACCGGCTGCTTGCTGCAAGGTTTTGTCATACACTCGTCAAATACTTATGATTTTTCCATCTTGGCACTGATGGCTTACGACAGGTACGTGGCTCTGTGCCGGCCTCTTGCTTATCGATCTTTCATGACGCGGCAGCGAGTGTCGCTCTTTGTGTTTTTGTCCTGGTTCATACCTCTGTTTTGTATGTTTATGAACACGGCATCCCTCTTGGGGAAAAAGCTGTGCGGCTCTCACATCAACAGGCTCTACTGCGTCAACCTGATGGTGGTCAACCTCGCTTGCTCCCCGCCCAGAGCCAACAGCATCATCGTGGCGTTCAACCTCGGGCTATATTTCTTGCACTTTCTGTTTATTTGTTGGTCTTACGTGTACCTAATCAAATTGTGCATTTCGTCCACACAGATGTGGAAAAAGTTCAGGCACACGTGCTCGCCGCACTTGGCCTGCCTGCTCACTTACACCGCGACCGTGCTGCTGGATTTGTTGTACATGCGATTCGGTTCGGCGCAGTTGTCGCAACACTTGCACAACTTCATGACCATCGAATTTCTCCTCATTCCTCCGATTTTCAATCCGCTCATCTACGGGCTGCAGTTGACACACATCCGCAACAGGATATTGAGTTTTTTCCACACAAAAAAGAAGATACGCAGCTTTTAGGCCGGGGTAATGTGCCTGTGTGTGGGCAAAATGTTGGACGGGATGTTTGTGAATGAGGTTTTTGTCCATGAACAGAAATGAAAGAATGGAGATTGGTCTCCATCACTGTTGGTCAATGCAGAATATCATTTTGCTTCGTTTTCAAATCATGAAATGTACAGGTGCATCTCAGCATCTTTTACTCGGTAAACCATTCACAATATCAATTGCCTAATTGTGATTTGCAGCTTCATTTTCATTCTTTTAATGCAATATGCTAATTTCTTGTTATGGTGAATCTGGGGTTTTATTTGCTTTAATAGCAATGATAATAATCAATGATGATGATTAAAAAATGAAATCAGGATCAACATGCCTCCTTTATCTTCTATGGACAATTTATATAGTGGATTTTATAGCCCAATGGTTTTTCATGTCGAGAAATGTATATATGTGGTGACTGTCCCCTCGAATGTCATTTTGAATAAAAGTTTTTTTAAAAATATATTTTGTATTTCCTTTTATTGCATCTTATACTTGATATTGACTTCTTGAAATTGGATGGAAACCAATAACATGACTTAACAACTTGTGCTTATTAATGTTTAAGGAAGATGACAATTTTCATGCCACTTGGACATTAAAGGAGGACTTCAGTCTCAGGCAAAGTTGCATAACCTTAACAGTCTAAAACCTCACACCATTGATTTTATGGAACTGTAGTAGACAATCCCTTTAAACTGAATGAATCTGGTGCTGCACTTCATACGACTCATCATTTGTCATCATTTGTTACGCTTGATGATGATGATGAGAAATCCATCCATCGTTTCAATTCACGTTTGTCTTCATTTGGCTCTAGCTGATGACTCCAGCTTCCTTTATTGCCTTTCTCAGTTGATGTTTACCATCGAACTATACACATAAAAGAGTTACACATGCATTTAGCTTGTCTTAGCCTCTAGTCGGCTGTCTTAGTGCTAATGCTGACGCATAATTAGAAACGCAATATAGACATGGGCTGACAATGAGCATCGGCGTGGCAGTGTTGCGCATATTTGAACACAAGCGGTGAGGCAACACATGTAGACAGACACTGTAACAGCGCTCATGATTATATATTATTTATCAGCTGAGAAAAACAGCTAATATTACTGCTGAGGAGTTCCGGCATCTCTGTCTCCATGTAAATCCATAGGGATGTATCATATTGAGTCACTGATGGTTTAATTAATGGTACACTCGCCGGATTTGTGCGCAGGCAGTGTAGGATCGGTTCCCACTCAGTGATGGTGTGAATGGTCGTTTGTCGCTACAGCTGCAACTAACTGACCACCAGGTCAGGGTGTAGTTTGCCTTCCCCCCATAGTCAGCTGGGATAGGCTCCAGCAACTTCCCGCGACCCTGTACAGGAAAATAGATGGATGTATTTCCCCCTGGTGGCCAAGGTCCACACAAGGTGACAAAAACGTTTTCATTCTTGTTTGCCTTTGCCATGATTGTATGTTTTTATACCAAATAACACGTTTCTAAAGTAAGCATGGGCATAGCCAGAAAATTTTCAAACACAACACCACAAAAGTCTGGATTCTTCACAATTCTAAATGTTGCTTGTTACTTTTAGGTTTGTTCCGATTCATATTTTGAGTGTGTCAATGTGTGCATTTTATTTCATTAAACCATAGCTGTGGATGGCGTGATAAACAATTACTTCTCTGCCATATTCTTTCCTAGCTATTGTGTGAAGGTAATGAACTTGAATCACGTGGACGGCAAGACTTGAATCTGATGTACTTAAAACAGGTAATTTTAGAGTTTGCATTCAGTTCAGTTATAAAGTCATTGATTCTTTAAGTATGCAGTTAACATTAAAAAAAACTTCCGCGAGAGTCTGAAATGATCTAATACGTGAAAGGTGGGAAGTCGTTTTATGTATGCACAAGACCATAACGAATGAACTAATGTTTCTCTAAATTCAGCACTAAAACTGTCATTCATATCTTTACCTTTCTTAGATTATCATCCATCTTCTGTATGCATAATTGACGAATAAAACAGGTCATCCAAAAGGCACGGAAACGAACTCCGCGTCACTAGATGGCGCTAGTGCACCATGGTGTCCTGCGAACGCTACGACGCACGGAGCCACGGCGTCGGAGAAGAAGGCCGCCCGATCCGTGGCTCATCCAGCCTCAGTCAGCCAGTCAGTGAGCCAGCCAGCCAGAAAGTCGTGCGGCCGCGACTGCCGCACATAACATCGCAACCTCGTTGAAGCCCAGCACTTATGCCATAGCCAGCCTCCAACAACCACTTCCCTCTTCCTCGCTCCTTCTGAGTTCCACGCCGCCGTCGGACGACACGCAAGCGGCCAGACATCCGTGTGCGTGCGCGTGTGTGTTTTTGGAAGGGCAGCTACAGTGAGGATTTGAAAACGTGAGTACGGCTGTGTTCTTTTTTTTTTTTGGCGTGGGGGGGGGGTCATGGACACCCGCTTGCTAACAGCGGGTCATTTGTTCACGTCCTCTCCGTATTGGTGCAATGTTAAACGAGTGCGATGAAGAGAACACATCTTGGTGGTGTATAAATATTACAAAAGGCTGTGGAGTGTGGACCGTTGCTCGGTGTCCAAAAACGCGAGACGGTTGTGCTTTGAAGGCGGTCGCGTCACCTCGACTCGACTCTGACACCGCTGCCTGGACGCCTCGCGAGGGTCCGCCAAGGGATCTACCGCATCGTGCTCGGTCAACCGAGGGAGCCTCTCGCGCAGTTGTTGTTGCAACACGTCGAGGGAGTTGTTAATGCAGGTGTTCGCCGCAGTGTGCCGTCTGATGATGTCTCAGTGCTTTGGCAAGATTGGGTTGCATTGGGGAGAGACAGGCCGGGGGGCGAAGAGCCAATAGGGGATCGGGGTGCGGCTAGGGCTTCGGGGGTCCCAAGGAGGATAAAACACCCCGTGACGTTGGCCCCCGGTTTATTTGTTAAGTGTTTATGCGGTAGCTGTTTCTATTCTTTTGCACACTGAAATATTGTTATATCCAAACTGTGCTTTAGATTTATGATTTTTAGAGACGTGAACGTGACAGCGTCCACGTTTGAAACTTTTTTTTTTACCCCTTTAGGAGTCCTGGCTGCCCTCAACTGGATCGACAGTGCATTGACAAGTGGCGGGCGGCACAGTGATGTAGCGGTTAGCATGTCTGGCTCACACTTCTGAGGTTGGGGGTTCAAATCCAGGCGCCAGTGTGGACTTTGCATGTTCTCCAGGTAATCTGACTCTCTCCCACATTTAAAAAACACACGCTATTTCAAGGCTCACCAGCCTTTTTGAAAGAGCCAGCTACTTCCTGGCTACTGATTAATGCAAAGGTTTTGATATACACCTCTGAAATAACAAATTTGCTCACAATATCAATCAATATCAATAAGCAACACTTTTCTTGCAATAAATCTCTGCAAATGGTTACATTTTCAAATGGTCACTTCTGCAACATTCCTAGAAAATCACAATGTCCCATCACTGGTGGGCTACATCTAGAACAGCCCCGTGGGCTACGCATGTGGTCCTTGGGGGCTACCTCGAGTCTTGTTGGAACAGTAGCGCCGTGAGATTTGATGAGATTTTCAAGGCGCCAGGTGTCATTTGCAAAAATTTGAGATATAAGTGCCCCATAGGTGCAGTGAGCGGAACTGAACTCTCTTCATGCGGCCGCGAGCGCCTCTTGGCTGTATGTTGGTTAACCCAGGCAGTGGCTGTAAAGAGGCCAAGATACTTTAAGTGCAAGTTTCTTGTCTGAAAGCAAATTGATGAGTCGGCCCCACGTGGACAGAGCAGCGCCTCTCATCAATCCACTTGGGCCCTGCCTTGAAGACGTGCTCGTTCTCGCCCTGATGGACACGGCGTTGCTCAGTTAACCTCAATAGAAACCAAATCGTTCTCGGCAACATTTGCAGGCTATTATTGTACGAGTCGGAAGAAAACCTGAGGGAATTGTTGTCAGTTTTTATTGGGATTACCATGCAAGTTGATTGTTACTAGCTCGTACAGAACTTGGCTCACAATGTCATAGTTCCAGTGCAATGTGAAGGTCCGGAAATAAGGTGCTTGACAGTGTTGATAGGGTGGAAGTCCAAAGCCTCCCTTGGCACGGGGGAGGACGGATTTTCTCCGTTTGTCAGTGACAGTTTCTCGTCTGCCTGGAGATGTTGTTGTGCAGTAGATGCTGTGGTCTGCCCATGATCAGGCTCGTTCAGCCAAGTCACGTATCATTGCAATCCTTTTCCCTCCTCATATTGTTGTGACCAATGTGAAAAGAGATCCATGTCACATGGTACCTTGCATTGGTGAAAATTCACCCCCCCCCCACCCCCAGAATGTTTCCTCCCATCAGTTCTTTTCATCTTGTATTTTTTGTCTTGCTCACAGTCCAGAATAGAATCCTCTTACTCGTTAACAGTAATTCAACTCAACTCCGGATGTAACTATCCTCAAGCATCATGATATGAACCTCACGATATGATAATTAGATAATTATCATGATATTGTGTGGAGGGTTGGCGATATAAAAGAAAAGAAAAGAAAAAGCTCATGACATTGGCAAAAAAAAAAGTATTCGTTTTTTTGTTTAATTTTGTTGGAACAGCAATGACACACAAATAGGCTTCGCCTGTCATTTTGTTGTCATATGTTCCGATTGGCTCAGCGTGGCAAAGAATCCTGGCAGTGTATTTACAATGCAAAGTTGTGTTTTTAGTATCGTAATACAATGACGACGATGTCGTGGCTATATTAAGATTGCCATGTCATCGTTACATCCCTTCGTTTTTCACATTTTCTTTATCACCGTTGAAATTATACCAATCGTCGTCATCCATCCATTCATCCGCTTTCCCAACCGTTTATCCTCACGAAGATCGCACTTTAATTTAGGAAATGTTCAACTTCACTGTCAAAATCAAGTTGTCCAATTCGAGGCTTGCAAGAGTTCTTGCGTCATCCCCCCCCCCCCCCCCCAAAAAAATGCACAAATGCATTTGGCCACTCCATCTTCCAGTTTCATGTACTCAGCGTTTGCGTTGCACATGGGAATAAGACCTCTTTTTCATGCCATTTGCTGCTGAAACTGCTGAGAGCGCTTCATCCGACTCACAAAGTAGGCCAAGCAAGCAAGCAAGAACCTTGAGCTAAAGCAATCTTGTTTTCTCCTGTTGGATAAGTAGTGGAAGTCTTTTTAGTCCTCAGTTGTCCCTCCTGTGTGATGAGAGTCATTTGGACATCGGGCTATAAATTTGGACCAAAGCAAGAGTTCGAGGGGTTAGTGGAAATAACGCCGCGTGACCCCAGCTTGCGTGACTTCTTCACTTCCCTTGGGGCGGCCACATCAATGCTGCTCCATCACCCGTGCCACCAAATTATGGGGAGGAGGGAGCCGCAGGTTGTGGCCATTATTCATGCACTATACTTACTTGCTTATGCATAATGCATCACTCTTACTTTC